GAAGGAAGGAAGGAAGGAAGGAAGGAAGGAAGGAAGGAAGGAGGGTGGGAACAAGGAACAAAGAAAGAAGTTCATTATCTTTTAAAGGAAAGCCACCTCTCAATGCTGGGCAAGTTTCAATTGTTTCAGCTACTAATGAGAAGTAAATGCTTTCTGGGATCTAGTTTGTAATATTCTAGCCCATTCTCCTGCCCTTTTGTACTTGCCTAGTGAACATGACTGATTTAAAACCTCATGAAAAGTTTCCTTGTAATAAAGAACTCCCATGGATTTCGAATCACAGCATTTCAAGGAACTGATGGTCACAGTGAAATGTTAGCAGATTCCATTAACTTTAAGAGCCCTGTGTTGGTCCTAAGGACTTCATTGTCCTTGGCTAAAGTGGCTTGTGAAAAGTGCACTCCAGGTCTATTTCGCTGTTTTATTTGACTTGTTTTTCAAATAACAGGTATTTATGAAGTCACAGAAGCACCGCAAACTACCGCTGTAATGCGAGAATTTGTTACTCACGTGTCTGCAGGCACAGCCACAGCACTTCCCTCTCTGCAAGTGGGCGACCCGCGTGAGCACCACGGAGCCGGTGGCTGGATCCACGTAGTTCAGCTGGTTGGCCTGAAGCACAGGGGGATAAAGCCATTCCTTCTCCTCCTCGGCATTCACACTGCCCGCTCACCACAAGTTCTACTCCTAGAGCCCTGCAGGCTTTTCATGAAACAACATGAGTCTTCTTTCCGGCAATTCTGGTGGCCCTTGCTTTAAATGCATTCCAGCGTTATATGCAGTCCAACTTCACGTGACAGGAGGAGAAAATATACAGTTTGCGAAAAACGAGAAGCTGATGGACACACAAGAACTCCTCTATGCCCAACAACTATGCCGCCACCGCTCAGGTATGTTTCACTCAGTTTCTAGGTAACACGTTAATCACAGGTGATTTCGGTGATTTTAAGAGCTTAAGAGGCTGAAAATGAACTTTCACTCAGAAGTTGCACTTGCAATTTCAGTGCTTAAAATATGTGGATAATGATTTAAACTTACACAGAAGGTGCTAATAGAAACCAACCGTCCTTGTAGAAAAGTATTACCCTTGTTATTATTGAACACTTTTCTTTACCTTCATGATGTGTGACTTCATTGAACATTTTATACTATTTTCTTTTCTTTCTTTTTTTTTTGGACTGTTGTTAGTTCTGTTTTTAAGCAAACAAAGTATTGTTTTAACATATTGACACTCTGCTTTCATGACTGCACCTCTCAGATGTCTAGGACATCTCCACCTCCATTCAAACGTGGTTTTAAACTGTCCCAAGTGCGTTGTGGGAAGGGAAAGAAAATAATTCGAACTCTTCTTTGGGTTTTGGCCGTGTGGGTGATGTTAGAGGAACTTTGTCCCGCGCTTTTAATAGAGCCCTTTTACCACGCAGTAACTACATCGCTCGCATGTGGGGCCTTTTCATTCAGACACACATGAAACTTGGATGTCTCCTAACATCTATTTTTGGATGTGCCACAAAATACCTCTTCAGAGTGTCTTCCTTAATGGTTGAATATTTTATTTTGGTTGAGGTTTTAACCAACTATGCTTCGTGAATAAAGCATGGAGCAAAAGGACAAGTAGAGTTTAGGTCTAGGTCTACTCTAAGGCATTCCAGCAAAGCCAGACCAGGGGGCAGCAGAAAGCCAGCAAGGGCCTCGGGGGCCAGAGAAGCAGATAACGTGAAACTGGAGCAAGAAACACTATTTTAAAATGACCGACTGTCAAGACCTCACGTCTTTATTTACAAAGCCCACATTGGAAGACTTGGAAGACACACACATACACAGGGAACTCTGCTGGCTGCCTTCTTTTCACTTTTCATAGCTTCTGGGTCTTCTGAGGGCCATTACCTGGCAACCTGGAAGAGTAAGACTGCTCCTGCGCTTGTGTGCGCCCGCTCTCCTGCTATTCTTGTGGGCTGAGAAACTTTGAGCTTGCTGGCTGCCCATACAAACTTAATTTGTCTGCAGGAGACGAGTCTCAGGTGACAGTGACAACAAAGATGCCACAAGAGTGCTGCCAGTTTGACTGGAGAACAATGTGCCCCGTGATGCAGCTGGCACAGGGAGGAAGGGCAGAGCCATCTGCCTGACACATGGACGTGGACAGAGCAGCACGGTGAGGACACTCTGATTTGTTGAAAGAGGAAAAAAAAAAAAAGCTTGTCATTGGCTTCACTTATGGTCTCCTGGGCAGTCACCCTGTGATACTGATATTGATGACACTGGATGTCCTGAGTGAGAAAAAGCTTGTTTCCTTCCCAAAGCTGATTGAACCTGTCTTTACATGCCACTGGTGTGTACTCTAAAAAGTATGAAACTTTTTGTTTATACAGAGGGTGCCAAAAACAACTTATACACATTTTAAGGAAGTAAAAACTATTAAAATTGTAATAATGTATACCGATAACAAAAGATGAATACAAGTCATGTGTATATATTTTTTGGCACCACAGTATCTGCCATATTTATATGGTGAGGTATGGGGACAAATTACCCGTCATTTAAAAAAGAGTATAAACAAGAACAATCAGAAGCTGCCAGTCATTTCCTGATGAATCTTTCTGCAGAAGTTTTAACACTTGAATGAGTCCAGCAGTGGGTTCTCCGGACCTACTAACTGTCAATGAAAAAAAAGTCAACTTCCAGGGTTTTCCTCTACTTCTTTGGCTCAAGTCACAGCAGGTAACGCTATTCCTTTCAAGGACGGGTCACACACGGTGTATTAAACAGGTTACTTTCATATTGTTTTTGTATCTTTGTTATAAAACTCACTTGGTCTCTCGAGATAAACATATAACCATGCTATGTTTAAACTCCTGTAGTTTGAGCTGTCAGAAAGTGCGAGGGGCGATACTGGCGCTAAGAAGCAATCATCAAATCTCCCAAACAGAAGGAAACACAGCTCAAGTTTGTTCAGGGAGAAGGTCAATGCCCGCTTACCGTTTCTGTGGTCATTGGGCTCCGATGGAGTGGGGGAAAGGAAAATTAAGTTTTGGGTAGCAAAAATTAAAATAAATTTACGTTTTACTTTTTCATTGTTAAAATCATTAGATGGCAAAGTGTTTAACTGATAATGCAACGTATTTCCTGTGACTTCAACTCCTCTACCTCCTCAACTCCTAAACACCTGTCTCTCTGTCTCTTACACACACACACACACACACACACACACACACACACACACACACACACACACACACACACACAGAGTCCCACACTGCGTCGAGTTTAGCGTAGACGCTGATCAGAAACGAGTCCCACTCATATTCAGGACAGACAAACGTTAACTGTTAGTCCGGAATAAGAAACTGGCCAGTTTTCAAGCGAAACGGTCGGAGTGGGAACCGTACGTGTCGTCAGAGGTCAGAAGCCGGACGGCACAAGTCCCACCACCTCTCCATCTGCCGGGGACGCGCCGACCTGGCAGCAGGGTTCTTACCGCGCAGGCGCACGGACCCTGGGGCCTCCGGGGCGGGGCGGGGCGGGGCGGGAGACTCCCCGCGCAGGCGCACGGGACCCGGGGCGCCGGGACGGGGCGGGGCCTCACCGCGCAGGCGGCCGCGTGCAGGTCTGCGATCCGTCGGTCCGCGGGTGTTAACTCTTCGCTCGCCGGACGCCTCGCCAACCCCTCCGGCCCGGCCCGCGCGCGGGGCCCGGAGCCGCCTGGGTCTCCGTCAGACGCGGAGCAGAGGGCGACGCCGACGGGCTGTGGGAACCCCGCTCCGACCCACACGGGCCTTGGCGGCGCGGCGGCGCGGAGCCGCCTCCCGAGCGCGGGGACCCGCCTGGCCGCCATGGCCGCTGCGGGCCCTCCGGCCGCCGATGGAGCCGCGCCGCGGGGACGCGGAGGGACGTGCATGTGCCGCCCGCGCGCGGACCCGGGCTCCCAGGGGCCCTTTCCCTTCCGAGGCGGAGAGCGGACACGCGTCCCTCGTGTCCCGCGAGGCTTGGGGTCGCTCCGCACGGCCGGCCCAGCCCTCGCGAGGCCACGGAGCGCTCGGAGGAGCCGGGCCCGTCCCGGAAGGGCGGCCGCCGCCGGGACCGGGTGCGAGGAGCCAAAGTGAAACCAAACACTGACGAGGAGGAGGCGTTTTCCGTCTGGACGGTGAACGTTATCCCGATACCCCCACAAACTGAATTGAGGAAATTAGCACAAGCCCAGGAGGTAACTTCAGGTGTTAGAGTTAAATTAACACTCCCTCCCCCCCGCCCCCTCCTCAGTCTAGATTTCAGGGAAAGGAGGGCTGCAAGGGCTCAGTTTTTAAGACCCGAGGACAACAGTAGGTTGAGCTGTGCAGGAGAAGGGGGACGAAGCCACCGGACACCGTCCCCCCTTTTTGGGCATCTGCATTCACCATGCAATCCTGGAGTCACATTTGGATGTGCTTAGTAGGTACTGCCTGAAACTATCCTGTCGGTCCGTTAATAAATCTCATAGTGAATTAATAAACGAGCCCTGTTTTGCAAATCTATTTCCTTTGCTTTTTTTCTGTTTGTTTTTTCTGTCCGGGAATCGAATGGCTGTTGCTCAGAGCTTGCACTTTTTTTTTTAAAGATTTTTATTGGGGGATTGGGGGGATGGGAACAGCGCTGGGGAATTGGGGGAAGGGGAGCAGACAAGTTGCTGTCCTTTTGTTCTTCAGTCTAGTTGTGGAGGATGTCGCTTCACTGGCCCAAGTTGGCACCATCACTGCGCTCTTCCCCGGCGAGGCAGATCAGTCGCCGGCTTCTGGATGGCCACTCACTGCGGCTGCTGGCTACACACAGTAGCCCATGGCAACCCACTGCCACAGGGACTAAGGAGGGACCCTAGGGAAAAGCCACGGAAAGGTGGGGCCAAACTTGAGATCACCAAAAGCAAGCACCTGCGTTTAGAAAAGGGAATTCACCATAAATCAGGAGGGTGTGTGTGTGTGTGTGTGTGTTGCCAAACCAAAATCTTGAATAAAGTAAGTGTGGAAGGTGAGATTGAGTGCATTGTTTTTAAAATGGAGCATGAGGACCTAGTAATAAATCACCAAATTAATTCAAAGGGTGGGGACAGCATTTACAGAAATGATATAGACTGGGCCCAGTTCACACAGAAAATAAAGGCATGTTACCTTGAAAGGGTACTTTTACATGAAACTTGTTTTGGTGGATGAGACAGTGGGTATGCATGTAGAGCAGCGGTTCTCCACCTTTCACAGGGGTCTCCTAAGACCATCAGAAAACACTTATTTTCGATGGTCTTAGGAACCGAGACACTGCTCCTCTATCCATCTCCAGGCCCACATGCAGATACGCCCACATACGAGCACCCGGCGACCCCTGTGAAAGGGTCGTTCAACCCCAAAGGGGTCGCGACCCACAAGGTGAGAACCGCTGATTTAGAGGGTTTGAGCAAGGGAGACCTTTGTGGTAACAATAGTTCTGTATTCTGATCATGATGGTTACACAAGTCTGTGATCAGGTATGAACTACACACCCTGTTCTGAAGCTGAACTGGCTTTGATATTGTACTATAAAGATCTGCATTGTAACCATTGGGGGGAACTGGGTGAAGGAACTTCTTTGTACCATCTTCGCAACTTCTTGTGAATCTGTATTTCAAAATTTAAAATCTGTAATAAAAAAAAAAAGTAAAAAAAGTTCTCCGATCTCTTGGTAAGGCAGATCACTGAATTAACCAGAGCCTTTTCCTGTCTCTTCCATTCCCAGGTGTAAAAATCATCCTGTTCGGTTAAGGCCTCTGGGCATTTGGGCTGTTCACATGTTACCTGCGTGTGCATTCTTATAGAGATCTACCTTCAAAATATAATCACAACTGGAAATGTGTAAAGTTGGAGTCGATAAAGCAAGTTAGTTTTAAAAATTTCCAAATATTTGATGATTAGAGTATCATTTAGACATCTAATGGATTATCTGCCCCTCCAATTTATTTATCTTTGTATTTTAGAGTAGGTATCAGTTTCAAGTAACTGACTCATTGAGTCTTGTTTTAAACGCCGCCTCAGGGCTTGACCCTTCCCTTATTCCATCTAGCATGTGTTCATTTCTTCTCAGGTGCTCTGCAGGTGGACAAAAGTAAGAAAGCGGGGGCACAAAGTTCCACCTCAGAATGATGAAGTCCACTTGTACTTACAACACGTTCACATCTCGACTGGCTCCAGAAAGAGTTGTTTTGTGCCATGTCTCTGTGTGTGACACGATGTTGGGTATGTTTTGTGGCCCTTCCCATCATTTGAGATGTTTATGTTGATAATGAACATGTTTGTTGCTTTGCGGGGGAGGAGGAGGAGAGAAGTTCAGAGAGATGCACTCCCCTACGTTTCATTTCTACTAATTTTTAAATTGTCACGTTAGGCAGGCCTCTCTAGGTCGCGAGACACAGACCACACAGCTTAATCTGGCTGTAATAAAAGCAGTTTGCTCCCATAACCACAAGGCTTGGTTGACTGTGGGCTCACGGACAGGACCAGGGTTCTCGCCACTTTTCAGCTGCCCCTCTTCAGCACTAACTCCTTTCCAGGCAGGTTCTTGTCTTGTGGTGAAGGATGGCTGCAAGCAGCGCGCAGGGCTTCATCCTGCCATCCTTGTCCAGCTGAAAAGAGTCATGTTAGGAAGCTCCGTGACAAGCAGCAGCCGTGTTTTGCCCCCCACAAGTCCTAACAGCCATCTCTACCGGGTCCATTCCTGAACCAATCGTGAGCCCAGGTTATTCTTAAGCCAGTCAGGGCCCGTTCCCAGAACTGCCTGTGCGAACCCAAGGCTGAGAACGGCTTGCGTTGATGCTGGGGCCCAGTTAACAAGTGTCCAGTACAGTGTGACTTGCAAAGGCAAAAGAAATTCCTCCTGCCCACCCAGTCCTTTCGGTCTTTAGAATTGACTTGTTTTATCATTTAAAACGTTTTCCTTGTCCCCTTGGTTTCCCTCTAGATGTCCTTCCTTTAATCTCCCACAATGATTTGCTCCATTTTAGCTTTTTATATACACGTAGGAAATTTTTTGCATTGTTTTCCCAATAGATCACAAGCCAGTAGGGAACATGTCATTTCGTCTTTGTATCTCTACAGCCCACCTTGTACTTTTATACACAGAACTGTGACACTTAGTAATAAATAATGACTTTTTGAATCGATAAGTGAGTCAGTGATTCTTCATACTCAAATACATATTAACTACATTTCATGTGAAATTTTAAAATTTACATTCTGTACATAATGCAAATTTGAAAATATTTACATATACTGTTGCAAATAAATACTTAAAAAACTAGGTGATAAAGATACTAACTCTGAAATGTTATTAAATTGTATTTATTAAATAGCACTGGGCCATTTTACTGACAAACAGGACAGAGGCATCCATTACTGAATTATCTAAGCCCTGAAACGCTGCCTCTACTCCACTTTGTTACCTTTCAATGAGCTATGAGCGGATTGCGCTGTGAGTGGGAAAAATGAACGCTGAGTCCCAGAGCTACCCACGGCTCTCTTGTCCACAGACTGCCTGTTCCGCGCAGTTCTGTTTGGACACTGATTTATGTATTTGATGTTTGTCACACAGCTGAATGGTGTGTTATGACATGTCACGCTCCACGTAGAGCGCATTTTCACTATCAATTCTTATGACTGAGAGCAAATGTTACATGCCCCTCAGGTGGCCTGTAGGGGATCTGTTTCATTTCGACGGACATCCAATAGCAACTCCTCCCCGGAGCTGGCCTTGGCCTTGGAAAACTGTCGGGAATGGTGCTTCCGTGCGCGCTGGGCCCACTGAAGCTGCCGCCCTCCGTGGCCGGGCCCCGCCGGCGAGGGAGCGCCACAGGCCCCGAGCAGCCCCGTGTCGGGCTCGGCTTAGCAGCTCTTGTTCCCCTGGACAGCAGCAGAGGGGCTACGTGACATAAAGTCACAGCCATTTCATTCCTTCGTCCGCCCTCTCCTGCTGCCATGGACAGCAGCCTGGCTTCTGCCCCCACTGCCGACGGGAAGCATCAGCGGTGACTTGCAGGCTAAGGCCAGGGCGCTGGTCCGGCCCTCCCCAGGTGCTCTTACCTACGCTATGGTTTTAACCAGTTACGTCCGAGCGAATGACTCCCAGGTCTCAGCACCAGGGTCAGCGCTCCTGAGAGCCACACGCTGGTCCCCCCATGTCACCACGTCCACGGTGGGCATCATCATCATCCCCTTAGAAATCTTCCTTCTGTTTACTTCGTTTTAAAGGCGCAGCTAATTCAGAGATTTTAGAGAGATCCTTAACTCTCCTCATCCAGATAATCGCCACATCCGACCAGTTTCGCTCATCTAGGTCTCAAACCCGCCTCCTCGGCATCTGTCATTGTTCTCGTTCAGGTCCGTATCATTCTGTCCCCAGGACTACAGGCAGGGCGACAGGGTTCATTGGCACGAAAATGATACGTAAATACATAATACGGACGTCCTTAAACTCACAGCCTGCAAAGTGCTGGAGACTACGGGTTAGGCTTCGTGCACGCCACCTATTCTGACCAAAGTCTTCCTGGTCTCCGAGCCTCAAAGTCACGGCCATCTGTCACGTCCTCTAAGCTCGCCCTGACTGCTCGCTTTGCCCGCTGTTCCCCAGCCGCCTCCTCAGCGCTCCCACAATATCCCAGCATGTCTCTGCATTTGCACTTTCTTAGTTTTATGTTTATGAGCGCTTTTTTATTGCCAGATTGTGAGGTCTTTAAGGGTAAAGACTGTCTTAATTATCTTTGTATCTCTGGTAGCACAGTACACAATATTAAAAAAGAAATGTTTTTTGAAATGAATAATGAATAGAGGCAGCAAAACCCCACATCTGAATCACCTAGTAAAGAAATGATACAAATGCATTTTCCCCTAATGTTTTATGGTTAAGAATCAGTATTGGGTTTTATCAACACAGCGGTTGTTCTCAGGCTATTGTTCTGAGGCACACTAGACTAAGATAACAAGGAAACTGTGATTTTACTTGGCAGCCTATTTAGCCAGTTCCTCCCACAACAGTCATTGAATTAATGGTAAGTGCAGTGTATGGGCCGCATTTCAAGTGAAGGCAGTTTATGTTGACGGTGAGATGCAGCCTTGTTAACCCTGAACAATCATTCCAGTTACAAACTACATGCTCCTGGTCACTGCCACATAAAGTATCCGGACTAATTACTTCCAGTCCTTTTGTTAGGCAAGGATTTGAAATGAAAACTACTCTTATGCCTATTCAATAGTAATAGTGTAATTCCCAGGAAGAGCATTACCCAAAAAAAGCAAGATCGGAATCCCACTTTTACTTTGTTACAATAAATGGATTAGTATTGTGCTTTTAGAATGAGGGGGTACCACTGTGCTGGTGTGTTTCCCACATAGCAACACAGTTGTAAAGAGACCTTGGTTAAGGCCATAAACACAACATACAAATCAGAGCGTTGTTCTCTGCACTCTCGCTGCTGCCTGAGGGAGAAAAGCTTGTCCACTGTTCCATGACTGGAATGAAAGGCACACTGCGTTTCAGGTCAAACAGCCATGACATTGACGTGTCTGACTCATCTACTGGGTACGATGCATGTTAGTATCTTCCCAGAGGTGGGCACTGCTGACACGCCTCAGCGACGAACACAGCACACACTGCCCCTTAGGCTTCCCACAGGTGTAAAGTTGATGCACCTTTAAATCCTGTGCAATGTGAACTGCGCATGAGCAGTTAAACTGTCAGATTGCTGTGTGCACTGTCACAGTTGTAGACTTCTGTGAGGACCGCATCGACACCAGTTGCTGTCTGTGACGATACTTCCCGATGGCACACTTCGGATAGCATTGTCCTGAGCTACACCAGTTTGCACCACATCCAGGGACCAACAATAACAGAGGAATCAAGCGTCGTGACTGACTGAGCACGCACAGCAACTGCTCTGTCCAGACAGTGGTTCTGAAATAGCAGGACATCTGGAACGCGGGCAGGTAATTCACCTGCCCGTCTAAGCTCCCCGGCAGGAGGGATGCACAGGCTCTCCTGCTGTTTTATTTCTGCTGTGAAGCGCAGCGCCTGCCGCCGAAATCAGCGAATGACGGAATCCTTGGTGGCCGTGGAGGAGGTGGAAGGAGCACTGCATTTGAAGGCACACAGGCCTGCAGTTGATCCTTGGCCTATGCGTTTCTCCTCTGTGCCACTGAGATTCCTGTTCCCTGAGCCTCAGTTTCCTCCTCCGCAGGACGTAATGTCTCAAAGTTGGACTACTGTTGCCACTAAATGAGAGGCTGGGTACAGCATATGCAGCACAGCGCCAGGCCCGTGAGTGTCAGCGGGGTTATTGTCAGACAGGAAACCACTCCTGTGTGTCAGCCCTCGGCTGCTTAGTTCAGCTGCCTAGTTCCCCACCACTCCTTTGCGGCATGAGGCTTAGCTTGGTTGAATGATTACTAATTTCTACTAGTAAATGACAAAAACTTGCCAGCAAAGTTTTAAATTAAAAACTTACATCAAGCCATAAACCTTCTGTACAGCAAAGAAGATAGTCAACAAAATGAAAAGGCAACCTACGTAACTGGAGAAAAGATCTGCAAAGCATATATCAGATAAAGAGTTAAATATCCAAACTATATAAGGAATTCATACAACTCAACAGCAAAAACCCAAATGACCTAAGAAATGAATCTGAATAGACACTTTTCCAAAGAAGACATAAAAATGACCAACAGGCATATGAAAAGGTGCTTAACATCCTTAATCATTAGGGAAATGCAAATCAAAACCACAATGAGATATCAGTTCACCTCTTTTAGGGTTGCTTATATAAAAGACAAGATAACAAGTGTTGGGGAGGGCGTGGAGAAAAGGGAACCCTTATGCACTGCTTGTGGGAACGTAAATTGGTGAAGCCGCTATGGAAAAGAGTATGCGGTTCCTCAAGAAATTTAAAATGGAGCTACCACATGATCCAGCAATCCCATTTTAGGGTATGTATCCAAAGGAAATAAAAACAGTATCTTGAGGAGAGAGCTGCATCCCCATGTTTGTTGTTTGCAAGAGCCAAGATATGGAAATATGGAAACAACTGAAGTATCTGCCAACAGGTGAATGGATAAAGAAAATGTGACACACACACACACACACACACACACACACACACACACTGGAATATTATTCAGCCATAAAAAAGAAATCCTGCCATTTGTGACAACATGGANAGAGCTGCATCCCCATGTTTGTTGTTTGCAAGAGCCAAGATATGGAAATATGGAAACAACTGAAGTATCTGCCAACAGGTGAATGGATAAAGAAACAGGTGAATGTAAAGAAAATGTGACACACACACACACACACACACACACACACACACACACACACTGGAATATTATTCAGCCATAAAAAAGAAATCCTGCCATTTGTGACAACATGGATGGACCTGACTGAAGGACATTAGGCTAAGTGAAATAAGTCAGAGAAAGACAATATTGTATCATCTCTCTTATATATGGAATCCAAAAAAAGTTGAGCTCATAGAACCAGAGTAGAAGGGTGGTTGCCAGGGGCTGGGGGGTGGGGAAATGGGGGGACATTGGCCAAAGGGTACAAAGTTTCAGTTATAAGATGCTTAAGTTTTGGGGATCTAATGTACAGCATGGTGACTATAGTAAATAATACTGTATTGTATACTTGACATTTTCTAAGCGTCTTCTCACCACACAAAAGGGAACAATGTGAGATGGTGGATTCAGATAGATGTAACAATTATCTTAACAGTTCACACTACTTTGAAAGAAAGGTAAACACAAATTTCATATACATAAGTGTTATATTGGGTTGTTGGAAAAGTCATGATGCATTTTTGCAACGAAAAACATAGAAAAAATATGTCATGACTTTTCCGACAACCCAATATAAAATTGCTTACAATTTGCAAATAAGAAATGAAATAAACAAACAAAAAAAACACCCCATAATCACCTAATGAAGCAACTTCTTCACTAGTTTTTATTTTTTATTTTTTTTTAAGATTTTTATTGGGGAATTGGGGGATGGGAACAGCGCTGGGGAATTGGGGGAAGGGGAACAGACAAGCTGCTGGCCACTCACGCTGGCTGCTGGCTACACACGGTAGCCCATGGCAACCCACTGCAGCAGGGGCTGCAGCCTACACTGTCGCTGACGACTCATTGGCAGCCCGCCCAGCTCCAGGTTGAGCTGTTGTTCAGCATCTTAGCTGTAGAGGGCAGTGTCACTGGTCCTCATATGTGGGATCCAAACCGGGGTGCTTTGGTGTCCCAAACCAGCTCTTAACCAACGCGCCACTCAGCTGGCCCCCATTAGTTTTTATTTTTACTGTTTGCTGGAGTGTTTATTGTTGGGTTCTGAATTATTTCAATGCAAGACAACAATACAGAGGGGTTGGCATCCCGAGGTTCAAGTGATGAAGAAAAGCACAGAACAATGAGTAGAGAAAAAATGTGAAGTGTTGTCAGGAATAGAGCTCTTGACCTTACATGTGTGCAAATAATTTAGGAAAACAAAAGAGCTAAAATATTACTATGGCCTGGATTTCAAGAGAATATTCTTATTCTCCTTTCTGTAAGTGCAAAGGATAAAGAAACAGGAAGAAAAAAACAATCCTCTGATAGGAGAGATGGAAGACACACAACCTAAATCGTGGTGTTTTATCAGTAAAAGGAACACGGTTCAGGAGAGAGACGCACGTCAGTGCATCTCCGCTCAACCTTTGCTGACTCACCAGATACTCCTCACCAGCATATTTTACTGCCATGGACCACCCGATTTGTTTTCTACTTCAGTTTCCACTGAATCTACTCTCTTGAAGTAAGTGTGGACATTTTTGGTGGTTTTAATGAACGCTAATCTTACTATTGTGTCTCCATTATCTGGACTCCTATAACTGGAACATTATTAAACTGTCATGGTCCTTGTACTCCTAAAAGACTTAATCCTTAGGTATGTGAGGTATTCTGTGGGAGTCTTTCTAGGAGCATGTATTTCACTGATGGTTATGTTAATCTTTCCCATTAATGTTTCCTGTTTTAATGCTGGGCACTTGGTCCTTCCTCCGGAAATTTTTAGCTCCCTTTTCTATATAGACTCACATTTGGCTTGACTTGGGTTCTGTAATAAGTAAGAGATATGGACATGACCATTTTCTCACTCTTGCCATTGTGTGAGTTCTGTGATAAGGTTCTCTGATCTTTCTTAGGCTTCCGTCAAACACACTACCGTTTCTAGAACTAAAGACTAATAGAGAACCTCACAGCTACTTTCCAATATTTGTACTGTTTTCCGATGTAAAAGATTTTAGGAGAATTTGTGGAGATAAGAGGAGGAAGAGGAGCAGTGAAAGGAGACTGCAGGAGGCAACGTTGAGGTCTGGGTGCAGAAACGGGGCAGGCATTCACAGTTCTACAAGCCGCCTCTGGGAGGCAGTAGGGTGCAGGGGTTGAGTATGGCTTCCCGTGGACTTCAGATCAACTACAACCATTTGCCGGCTGTGTGATTTGGGCCTTGGTTTATTCTGTGAAATAGGTATAATAGTAACGGCTCATCCATAGGGATTTTGTATGGATAAAATGAGATGCTTCCTGCTGGGCACTTTTAATTGTGTCTGGGACAGAATAAACGTTCAATGAAAGCTAGCTTTATTATTATGGAATAGGCGGCCCACTTCTGTAGGTTCCCCACCACTAGAGGAATTTCAGCAGAGGTGGAATAATACATTGGTAGGGGGGCTAAAGAGAAGATTTAAGCATTGGGTAGCCCCTTCATTTTCTGTTTCTATCATTTTGTTTCCAGTGATTATCAAGGTACCTTTTATAGACGACAATGGTGGCGTTACTCTGTGCTTTATGCCTTCTCCCTGGTAGTCCAGTTCCAGTGGTACAGTCTCTTGTGGGCAATCTACAACCACAGACGGGGGCAAAGAACACCACCGCTGAAGTTCTGTCTCCTCATTCACCTCACGGAGCAAACCAGCTGCAGATGCCAGAGACCTAAACAGATAAACTGTGAATTCAGTGCAGGCAACACACTAAGGAACGGTTCTTCGGATAATTTAGAAACTTTCTTATTAGTGGAAAAATTAAAAAGGGTCATAACATTCATTGTGGGTAAGACATAAGTGGGAAAATGGACACTGTAATATATTGTTAGTGGAAGTATACATTGCAAACATTTTGAAAAGAAATCTGGCAATGTCTATTATAAATTCAAATACTCTGACCTACCAACTCCACTTTTGAGCAGCTTTTCTGTAAAACAATAAACATAATTTTTAAAGGCCACTTTAAAGTATCTTTATTGTAGTGCTGGTTATGATGGCCAAAAAATGGATATAATCTCATTGCCTATCAACAGGATGACAGTTAAATGTACTAATAGAACAGTTTTACTAGGAAATATTATGTGACTGTTCAAAAGGATGATTTAGATCTCTACATCTATTGACTTGAGATGTCCATGATGTTTTGTTGAGTAAGGCAAGTTCCAGCATAATATTTACAGTATCATCTAATATTTGGAACAGCAAACAAACAAACAAACAACTTCCAAATACTCTTTCAGTGTTTTTCCATCTAAGGGGAGAGGTGAGGATGGTCCCATGATAGACTGCTGATGACACTGCTTATCTCAGGACTGGGGCTGGGAAGGAATCAGTGTCTTCTATATATGTTAATGTATTGTTTCACATATTGCTTTTGATATGAAAGAAACTAAAAAGAAAGTTTTAATTAAAGAAGAACTTAATAATTACAAAAATGTACCTACGTTTGGCACAATGCAAATTTGAGAAAAATACTCCTATCTGCATTTATTATTCCTTTTTTCTTCTGTCCTCCCCCTCCACCCCACTTTCTTCCTTGTCCCTTTTCATTCTCCACTTCCCCTCAAAAAACAAATGTATCTTTTGTGGAAATGGGAACATATTCCAAGTCAAGTGTTTAACTAGACTGGGAGAGTATAAAGAAACAGTTCATTTGTTTCATCTCAAGCACTAACTATATGTTGCAAAATTTCTCTTTAGGCAGAAGGAGAGCCCCAGCACCCTGCCCCGCCATGGCGGGGCTCTCCACTTCCGGTGAGATGGAGCTTCCTAAGAGCACGCTGTTCAGAGAACACAAGAGCAACGTGCCTTTTTTCTCTTTTTATAGAAGAAACCCAACAGCAGCATTTCTTCTCATGATAAGCAGGACTGGCGCGTGCTCTAACAGAAAAGCCATATATTTTTGAGTCTGACTTTATGAGGACGAGGGCAGCAAAAACAGAATAAAATATTAGTCAACATAAGGGACACATAAAGCCGAGGTTTTTCTCATGCAATAGGAACGATTAGCTATTAATAAACATTTGTGCAGAGAAACTATTTGAAATTTCTCTTCCTAAAATGGTCTGTAATGAATTATGTGAACTATGCAGTTGAACAAACTGTATCTGTGTTTGTGAAGGACCTGAGCTCTGGCTGCACTTCTTTTAGGATTCCTATCGTCTTGTATTAACTTTTCTTCACTTAGAATTCTACTTTTATCCTATTTATTACCTTAAAATATTTATCGCAGAATATATGGAACAAATACCAAAGAATACGGGAAAAGTGTAACGAATCCCCTGTACCTGTCACCCAGCTTCTACACTCACGTGACTATGGCAACCATTGTCTCATCCACACCACACCTCCTCCGATCACATTACTTTGTAATAAATGACAAAGACTATAAATATTTTAACTCATGTCTAAAGGATATGATCTCTTTCAAATATTACAATACTATTAGCACAGCTAAAAGAAAAGGGATATTTTTCTTAATATCAGCAAAACAGCTACTGTTAGAATTTCTAATTGTCTCTTAAATGGCCTGCTTTTTCTCTTAAGGTTTTTAATCTATTGGTTCTTCCTTAATATATATATTTTTTCCATTTGAAATTATTTGCTAAAGAAACTGGGTTGCTTTTACTTCTTGGAAATTGGATGTAGAGGCTTGATCAGATTTAGATTTTTGTTTTTCTTGCCAAAACACCTCATTGTAACTGTTATGCTCTATTAGGGAGGCACAAAATGTTTGATTGTCTCTTTTTTCATGATGTTTATAGTTGTTAATGCTTAATATCTAGCTCCATTAAATGCAAAATAGTGATATTCTAATTGTAGCACTCTTTATTTGCTAGAGGATTTCTCTAAATAAAAAATCCTAGTTATCGATCATTTTAGTAAGCCAGTGTTACAGCTCATATAGAGAAAGCAGGATAAATGTTTGATTCTATCCTTTTACTTGCCAGTTTTCAAAATAATGAATATGTTCCTTAGCATCATCCAACAGTGATGAATTAGGTTTTTGGTTTTTTGTTGGTTTAGTTTCACCACAACCACGTGGCTTCAATCATATTGGCCATGTCTGAAGACACTGCAGCTGTTATTCTTACTGAGGCTCTCCGTGGCCGTCATCCTAAATGACCTGAGTCCCGGTGACATGACCCTGGTAGTCTCTGCCGATTTCTTTGATTTTGGTATGACAAGCTGTTCCACATTCATCTGCACATTTTCTACCCTTGACTTGAAATTAGCCACGGCTCCTTTTGGTGGGCTCTTACTTCTACTGAGGTGGTCATTACTTCTAGGACGTTTCAGTGGACAGAGTAGGAAATTTTTTTTTTCAGCTAAAATACATCATTATATCACAAGTTCATATTTATATTTTAAATTCAAAGTCAGGGTTATCTTATATCTGTCGCACTTGTATTTTACATGCATTTACATATGCTTTGCCATACTAAAATTCTCACTTCTCAAGGTCATCATGATGATATAATTAGAATATCACATATTTGCCTATTTGTTTTATCCACAATGTACAATAGAAGTATCAGAATCCAGTACCAACACCACTAGCAACAATACAATTATTGGAAACATATTTTTTTTAAGTTTTGATATTTTTGCTATTCTAATGGGTGTGTAGTGGTATCTCACTATAGTTTGCTCATTCTGTCTTCAATCTATGTAATGTGATTTTTTTTCCCTCTGGCTACTGTTAGGATTTTATCACCAATTTCAGCAATTTAATTAATGATGTTCTTGTGATTTTCTTCATTTTTTTTCCATTTGGATTCACTGAACTTTCTGGATTTGTAGATTTGTAATTTTCATTAAATTTGGGGACATTTCTGCCATTATTTTTCACAGTTTTCCCCCGTTCTCCTTGCCCCTCTTTCAGACTTCAGTTACAGGTGTGTTAGATTGCTTCACCGGACTCACATCATTCCTGCGCCACTCATCATTTTTGTCTTTTATATTTCTGTTTCATTTGCATGTTTCTGTTGCTATGTTTTCAAGTTCAGTAATCTTTCCTTATGCTGTCTCTAATCTGTTGTTAATCACACTTAGCACAGTTTTCATTTCAGGTATCGTATTTTTTATCTTTAGAATTTCAAGTGTAGCCCTTTTTAATCTTCAAATTGCCTTCTTCAGACGATACTTTTCTCTACCCTCTTGGACATATGGAATCGATTTACAGTTGCTTTTTAAAAACAACTTTTCTGATGATTCTATCTTCTCTGTCATTTGGGGTCTGTTTTGATTGACAGCTTCTTCTCCTGGTTAGAGGTTACATTTTCCTGCTTCTTTCTATGTACGCAATTTTTGATTGGATGCCAAACATTGTAAATTTTATGTAGTCGATGTAGTATTTTGCTGCATTTTTGTAAATACTGTTCTAGAATGCTAAGTTCCTTGGAATTAGTTCAACTCTGAGTCCTCTTTTTAAGCTTTGCTAAGGTGGGTGCAGAGCAGCTGTCTGTCTGAGGCTTACCTGATTCCACTGCTGAGCTAGGAGCCTGCTGATGGCTTTACTTAATGCCCTATTGATTCTGAGGTCTTTCTACTTTGATTGGTTGGACTATGAACTATGTGCCACCTTGTAGCTCTCCAGGGACTATTCTACCTGCCCCTTTCTTGGGGTCCTTTCTCAGGCTTCATGTTCACACACACACACACACACACACACGTACAAAGTCAGTACTCAGCCACAGACTTAGCACCTCCCTCTGCAGAATTTTGGAGCCTTTTTTCCTGTACATCTACCTTCTTCCTGGAATTACACTTAGGAAATTCTAGCCCTGTGGTCTCCCTGAGCTTTGGACTCTGTTTGGAACTGGTTTATCTACGCTGTTTCCTTGTTCCCTTGGAGTGACTTTCATTTCAAGGGCTTTACCACCTGCGTTCCCACTGGCCCTTGGGAAGAAGGCTTCCATATTTTCCACAGCTCTTGCAGGCTTTCAATCTCAGAGAGAAGTTGGGGTACAGGTCATTCCTTCTTGGAAGTGTTTAATGCAAATCGGTTTTATTTTTATCTACCAATGGGAGGGGCAGCCTTGCCAATCAAACAAAAGATGCTGTTCTGCTTCCCTAAGGCAGAGGCCTTACATCTGCATAACTAAAACAGATCCAAGGACCTCAGAAGAGTGAAGTTCGCTCAAGGCAACTTTCACTCCAGAAAAGGGAGGGACTGATTGAAGGGAGAAAAAAGAAAAGAAAGAAGTGAGGAAGGAAAGGAAAGGAAAAATGAAAGAGAGAAAATTAAAAATGCTTTGCTAGGCATGCTTATATATTTTCTCCCATTTTGTGGATGTACCCAATTTGTTTACTCAGTCCTTTACTCGCCCCTCCCCTCTTCACTATTACAAATAACTGCAATTCTATATATATCTTTGTGTACTTGATAGGGCTTTTCTATAGGATATACTAAGAGTATGAATATTTTATAATTTTATAGCCTGTAACATGTACTAATGAATATGTGTGCGTGTGTGTGTGTGCATGTGTGTGTGTTGAGGAGGACACACCATTTGCACGGGGAATGTTTCATTTATTCTCAAAAGTTTGAAACTTTGGCAACACTTAAATGGCCTGATAACACCGGAAACACAAAAGAAGATGAACATACCCTCTGCTCAGACACAAGAACAAGGTGCGTGGGACTGGAGGAATGACTGGCTTTGAAGAACTCATCTTGTAACTTTAACATTCACCAGGTGCAAAGTGTAAAGACCTGCAAAGGAAGTTTCACTGTCAGCGATGGTCCAGCTGCTCCGCGTGCAGCCGCTGGACTAAGGCAACCTGTTTGTTTCAGGGGCAGGAAGGGTTAATTTCCAGCTCACGCACAGACAGAGGTGGTCAGCTATCTGAGGAGGGGCTGGAATCCAGTAGGAGGGTAAATCTAAGTGTCTGCCAAGTGGGAGCAGCGGGCTGTGAGAAGCCCCAGCCTCACCGCTGATAGCGTCTCTCTCCCCTTGCGCTGAAGCTGGGTCATGCTATTTAAAATACAGCCAGTATATTTTATGTTTGCAGCATTATGGAGGTGTTCATACAAATTTAAATCTTTAAAAAATTTATGTCGCATATTAAACTTACCAAAATATACAACACATAAAGTGATAGACCCGGTTAGATATAATAATTGTTAAACCACCCAGTTAATAGATATTTTTTCCTGTTTGCTTCCATTTTTTTCTTCCTTCTCCTCCTCCTCTAAAAACACTCATTTATATGAAATTTCAAACACATAAAAGAAACAATGCTCTTTCATCTCTACCTCTACCCACTTCACCCAGCTCCCCAGATTATTTAGACGTAATTCTTAGCCATCATATCTCTTCACCTATACATTTTTTAGCATCAATATAGAAAAAGATTTGAGTATAGCCATGATATCATTCTCACCTAAATATCAGTAATTCCTTAAGATTCTTGACTATCCCTTCAGTATTCAAATTTTCATGTTTTTAAAGTAATTTTAACAGTTGATTTGTTTGAGTCAGGATGAAAGTAATGTCTATACACTAAGTCTTTTAATCTGAGATCCCTCATACCTCTCTAGTTGCTTCCTTGCAACTTATTTGTTGAAGAAACCCATGCTCCAAATTGTGCTGATTGTATCCTAGTGGCTACATTGAACATTTTAATTTCTCTTATTTTCCATAAATTGGGAATTGGATCTAGAAGTTTAAGCAGATATAAATTCTAATATTTCACAGGTACCGCAGCAGTATTTCCCAGTGCACTTCGATCAGGGGCATGCGATGCTGGATTCTCTCTTTTATGATTATTGCTCGGATTATCATCTCTTTAAAGAAAAGATGTTACAGATACAGTTAAAGTCCCCTCCCCCTTCACCTCCCTCCCCTCTCCCCGCCCCCAGAGGCAACTACCATCCTGAACTTTGTGTGTTTTACTTTCACACGGAGTACATACTTTGGCACTTTAATCATATATCCATATTTTTAAACATTTTAAGATGTTTAAAATGTGCTCATATGTTTTAAATCTTGACACAATTAGATTCAGACTGTATGGATGTATTTGCAGCTCTCTGTGGGGGCTGATCTGTGTTGATACATGAGACTCTAATTCATTTTATTTTTATCCACAACTTAATATCGCATTATATGAATGAACCCCCATTTATTTACCAGTGTGTCTACTATGGACAGCTATGTCATGTCTCTTCCCCTGCTATAAACAGCGCTGCCATGAGGGTCCTGGTACCTGAGTCCTTGTGTATGTGTCCTCAAGTTTCTCCGGGGTACGTACACCTAAAAGGGAGACTTCTCGCTTGTAGTGGAGCATGAGAGCAGGCTAATGCCGGCTCATGAGTGCCTACTGTTCAATCTTCAAAAGTATTGTGAACTGGGTTTTAGACACAGACATTATTAGAAATTAAATTATATAGACTTACAATGAAATAAATTGTATTAAAAACAAAAGTAATAAATGCCCAAAGTTCATCCCTTACTGATTCTTTTCCTATAATTCACTAGGCTCTTACTGCACACACTCCAGTTATCTATGCTCTGATGTTATTTATATCTGTTTGTCTCTATGGAGGAAATACTCCATAACAGTGGGGTGCCGCTTATCTCTTCCCAACTCTGCACCGAGTGGCACCGCACTGGCAGCCTGAGTCAGCCCCGGTGGGAGTACTCACACCACAGCAGCTGGACACGGCTACAAATCAGGGCTTAATTTATTGTTCTCTGATGGTCTGGACTTAAGTAAGGGAAAATGTCAATAATGCAGGTTAATCTTGACAGTGTATCGTGTCCAGAGTCCTCACGCTGTGAAGAGGCCCCCACGTGAGGAAACCTCCTTCCAATATTCAGAAACTGTTATCCAGTAACACCCCCATGTCACATTACATGGGCACATGAAGGTCACTGGGAAGGGATGGACCATTCAGTGAATAAGAGAACAATGTAGAGGCCTAACTCACACCACACTCACAAATACAGTCATCATGGATTGCAGAGCTCAATACACAAAGCACTTTTCTTTTGAGAGAAAACATAAGAGGGTATCTTTGTGACTAGAGGAGCCGCCACCCAGATCCATCCTCAGGGAAGGTCTCCGGTTAGCTCCAGGCAGTGAGGGGAGCTGTCACCTTCCCACGGCTCCTCCTGGGCGGTGGGCCCAAGTTCATGCTGCTCTGGGGGAGGCCAGCAGCCAACGGCTGAGCAAGGTGCTAAGTCGAGGTTCAGGCCATTTGCACCCGACAAGGGACTTCTTGGATGGGCACTCTTTGCCCTGGGGCCCCATCAGGCTGACAGAAACGGCGCCAAGTCTGATAGGCCCCTGCCCAATCCTCATTTCTTAGCTGTTCTGCCCCAGTAAAATTTTGGTCACCTGACTTCGTCTCAGGGTCGGCTTCTTCTTGGGGAACCCGCCCGTAACACTCTTATGACTCTAACTTAGAGAAGGAGTTTGTCCTCGCTAGCTACAAAGTCCTACGTGAGGCCACCATCGTCCTGTTGGAGTGGCTGTCTATTATGGTGTGGCTGTGAACTGTTCCAGCGAGTCTGGAATTCTGGGCACTGAATTCTGGCTCTAAAAGCATGTGTTTGCTGAAACGCTACGAGTGGCTGCCCTTGGGTGGCGGGATATTGGCTGACCTTTTCCTATTTGCTTCTCTGTAATTTCTCTTTGATCTGCAACAAACTTACTCTCCTTCTATATAAGTGAAAATATGTATTTCTGTACTATGCGGTTTGTAGCAATGCCTGGGAGCTTGATCCTTCATTCTACTCAATGAAACAAACATTGTTGAGAACACACAAGTTTCCAGGCATCATTCTAAAACAGCAGGGAATTCCAATATGAGTCCGAGCGTCCTGCTCTCAGGATCATACAGATGAGAACAAGGCAGGGGACACCTTTTGTGGGCCTGTTTTGGTCAGCTGACTATATTCCACCTTGATTGGTTTTGGTCAAATCAGCTTTGCTGAGAAACTTTCTACGTTTCAGTTTCACGTGATAGCATCATTACATTTAGAAAGTTACTCTCTAGGTTTACTGAAGGGGAGAAGCCATTCTTTTGGGGTGACACAGGGTCTGTTGCATCCAGAACGAGGACTCTGTGATGGGGGGCTCTCTTCAGTAGTTGGCGGGTGAGCTGCACGCCCTGTGTACATCGGCCATGTCCCCTCGGCTGGGGCCAACGAGGATGCGCAAGTGGAAAGCAGTGCGTCTCCCCCACCACCCGCGCTGCTGTCCCGGGCTCCCTTCCTTGATCTCTGCTAGGCGGCTGTCCTCCCCACAGCGCCAAGAAGACGAGTGCCATATGTTGGGGAGGAGGATAGGGATGAACACTGCAGCCCTGCTGGGGATAAAGCAAGACACAATTTTTACAGAGCTCTTTAGATTAGCACTGGATGAAGAATGTGTAGGAATGAAAAGGAAACAGTTGTGTCTGACTGAAGACTCTGAAATTCCAAGCTGGCCCCAAATCCCTTACGACAGAGAGAAATATGTGTCTGACGAGCCCGGTGGCACTAGACTAAACTCTGCGATAGTGATGATTTAGAAGCCGGACTCGCAAAGTTTTTAGCTCTGTGTGTAAATTGCAGCACCCCCACATCCACTGGACCTGATGAGAAAAGACACCCTAACTCATCTCAGTCAACCTTCAAAGGAAAGCTAATCAGAGAGGGGCTGGAGAGGAGAGAGGGCTGGCTTGATGTGTCACCTGTCAGCGCTGGGGTCTCTGAATTTAGTCTTTCCAAACAGAAAAGATTGCTTGTTGTTTTCCTTGTCGACCTATCACACAGCTGGCAATGTCCCAGAAACTCGATTTATTCTCTCGGGTCCTAGAACCAGAAGAACACAAAGGAGAAGCTTTTCTCATGGTCACTCTGAAGAAGCGGAATGAAAATCTTGTGCAGCTGTAGTTAAAATGGAAAAACCCTTGAAGGCTAAGAACACTCGTCTGCAGTGTGTTCAGACTAGTTTTGAATTGAAAGGGGAGATGCCTGAGGAGAGGCAATAACAAAACCATTTTACAGACAGTTCCGTTTAGTTGCATTTTGTTGAAACTCATACGGTGAGATATTTGGGGAAGAAAGAGGAAAGTAAGCCAAGTCCTGAGTTCCCAGTAGCTTCGGCAGTGCTTCTGGGAACTCAAACGATGTGCTCTCACATAGCCAGGCAAGGGATCTCAGAACTTGGGCTTGAAGCCCCTGCCAGGATACGGGGTCTCCCTTTACACACTTGTCACCTCCCAGACCATGGGCCTCCATGGGAGGTGAGCTGGTTTGTGATCTCTCACTTAGCGGTTTTCATCGACTTGAAGAAGCTTCTTTTCCCATCTTTTTCTGAAAATTGAATTATCTTATTTTCATGGTGCACCATTCTGTAACTGGCAGTATTTCTTTCTTTCTTGGTGGTAAATAAAATATGGCCCATTTTATGACACATTAAGTGAAATACCACAATAATCGTAACAACATCAGCTCCATTTTTGAGGACCTCGTTTGTCCTAGTCACTGTGTTAAGTGCTTTACAATTACTATTTTATTTGATGTCACCTTGATAAAAGAGCATGAAGATTAGCTCCATCTTATGTATTAGAAACAGGCTGGGACACCTTAGACTGAGAAGTGGAGCCTTCCAGAACGCAGGTCTATCTCAACCCAAACTCTATTCGCTTTCTACCATGTTACATTGCTGGTCTTGATAGTAACAGCTGCCTCTTTTTATCCAGCTTTAATGATAATAATA